CGTGCAGTGGCCGCTCCCAGCCACTGCAGCCTCGACCTGCTGGGCTCCGGCTATCCTTCCACCTCAGCCTTCCGAGTAGCCGGAATTACAGGCATGCGCTACCATGCCTGGCTGATTTTTTGATTTATTGTAGAGATGAGGTCTCGCTGCCCAGGCGGGTCTCGAACCCGCGGGCTCAGGCAATCCACTCACCTCAGCCTCCCAAAGGCGCGGGATTACAGGCTGAGCCACCGAGCCTGGCCTAATTTTTTTACTAAATTTTTTGTGCATACTATTGTCTATAGTTGTTTTACAAAATAATTCATGGAACAAAAGAGGGAGCACAGACTATAAAACACACTTCTCTGCTCTTCTGTATCACACATAAGGAGCAAAAACCAGTATGATATTTGGCAAAATGGAATGAAAATGAATTTACTTTTGCTCTTTAGACAATGGTTCTTTTTTAATCTATGCTTTTTTTTCCCTTTAAGGCATTCAATTTAGACCACTTTAATCTTTTTGGAACTGAGTTTAACTTTTAAAACTGATGATAAATCTGAAATACTCTCATTTGCTCATCTCCACAAAACTATTTAAGTCTCTAAAAGTCAATACAGGCAATTAGACCCACATTTCACAAGGCGATAAAGAAAAATTACTTACGTTTAAGCTCTAACTGTGTCCCTGAGCCGAAGGTGAGACACAGTATTAACTTAACTACTCTCCCCTTGACAAAAACCTCTTTATGCTTCTAGTATCACTACACTGACTGATACAGAGAAAATCTGGTCATTTAGGTGCCTTGTCAACTGACTGGCTCTTTGCTCTTCCTTAGATGAACTAATTTTCAGTCTGTTACTCATCTGATTTTTTGGGAAGAATCCAGTACTCTTTGGAATTGATCTCAACTAATATCTCAAACATAAAAACTCCCCAAATTTACAACCTCATAAAACAAAGATTAGGAAAGTGCACTATGATTGCTCTTCAGCTTGGTTCCCCGCTGAAAGTAAATCACAATGAGGGCTCTAACTGTCTCCCCTCAACAAAATCCTCACTTTAAAGCCAATTGTATGAGATGGGCTAATTCAAAGTAAAATCAAGCTATTTCTTCACCAGTTTGCTCACAGATCTCATTCTTTTTACAAACTGAACAATTTGTTTACTCAGCTTTTAAGTTGATTTTTTCCCCTGCTGTTCTACTATTTACTTTTGGGTCAACAAAAAGTGGTTCATTTAATCAAACTATCACAAACTTGCACAAATGATACAATGGAACCCAAACCTCACATAAAATCATAAATGTACTTACGTTTGATTTCCACTTTGGTTCCTTGTCCGAAAATGAATCACAGTGATTCGCCTTAACTTCTCCCTTTACAAAAACTCCCTGAAAGGGCATCAAGCCCCTTTGTCCAATAAAGTTACTTTGATTTAGAAATCTTAGGAATTAGTCATCAGCTAGTCTCCTTTGGAACAATTTTCCCTCCTCTATACCTAATCTGGGAATGAAATTTGTTATGTCCCTGACATCCAACTAATGAAAACAGGCAAAAAGAAACAAAAAGCAAGCCAATTAGACAGAAACAGTGAAGAATCAGTTGCAAAAAGCACTTACGTTTGATTTCCAGCTTGGTCCCTGCACCGAAGCTGTACACACAATGGTTCCTCTTAACCTCCTTCCTATACAAAAACTGAGTTTCTTTCTCTGACAATTGAGCTAGGTCTGTCCAGACCATGTTATTATGATTCCCGGTAAATTTCTGAAGCTATCCCTCAAACAAGTTATTCTCACCCAATAACTGAATCTCGCTTGGTCTCCATAGAAAATGTACAGCAATTCTCAAGTTTTCCTACAGACTTCATCTTAATCTTTGACCTGGAGAATGTCAGAGTCTGGTTGCAGAGTTAGCTGATAGATTCCTTCATAGACACAGGGACCATAAGATGCAGACAACCGATAAAGGAAAGTTTAAATTTTACTTACGTTTGATTTCCACCTTGGTCCCTTGACCAAACGTCCACCACAGTGAGAGCTTTCCGTTGTCTTGCTGTACAAAAACCCTCCTCATTGAAGGGGAACAGAGCCCTGGGTCAGCTGTTGAAGCTTAACTCATTTTTTGAGCAGGTGTAGAAGCGCTAGCACTTCTCTGATGAAGCATGTTTGTTTTTCTGAGGTGACATTTAAAATCTTAGGAGACAATATATTTATGTCTGCAGCCTGATGGCCCTCCCATTTTTTAAAAAGCAACTTGCCACATCTGGACTGCTTGTTATTGATTGGAAAATAGGCTGAATGTTAATACTAATAATTAAAAAAACCTATGCACATTTTTAAGAACTGCAACTTCTTTATACTTCTTCCTGGGGTGAGGATGGAGAGCTTTGACAAATGATAAACTTTATTCAGTACAGTTATGGAGCTCATCAGTTCCTCCCAGTGAATAATAATTAAAACTTGTCTTCCTATTTGAATTTCTTCTTTGCTGCAATTTTGTTTTCAAAAAAGCAGACTCAATGTATACTGAATATACCAAAGCTCATATATTTGAAATGTATTTTGAACTTTAGCTATGGATGACATGTGAAACAAAAGTGAAGATCAATAAAGTAGAAAAGCATACTTTACTTGGTTGGTTTGCCAGAGGACAGGTAGAACTTAGGTCTTATTGAGTGGACCCAGGTGAATACTGTCTTTGGAGCTGCCATGGAGTCCCTAGTAATCCCATTAAAGACATTAAAGTCCTTGTTTCTTTTCAGTCCAGCTTCATTTATTACAGCCTTGTTTCTCTCCCAATCCTCCATCTCCATCCCCTTCTGTACATTGCTCCTACCACTTTAAACTTACAGTCCTTCTATGGACTTCAGATTTTACAAAACACTCTCTTTGGAAACATCTCTATTGACCTGGGTTCGTTTGTTAACAGCTAATTTCTCTCAAGATTCAACTGAAGACAGAGTTTTTCTCAGATTATCCCCAATCTGGTGGCCTGATTTTCAGAATACAAGGATAAGTAAGTAGGCCTAGAATGCCTAATTGTCCTTATCTGCTTTTAGATTCTCTTCTACCCTATTCAACTGTTAACGGTTTGATGTTTTACTGTATTTGTCTTGTATTTAGGAGACCCAGTCCAGTATCTTTACTTGGCAAATATTCTATAAATATTTTTAGAATTAATGAAAAACAACAACATCAACAAATAATTGAAAATCCATAGTAGATCAGATGGGACAAATAATAATAGACCAAAGACTAATACTTACCGCTACAATAGTAAGTTTTATGAGAGAAATTGTAACTGTAATTCAAAAGAGGTAGGCTGATTTGGTTGTCACTGGGAACTTTGTTGTGCCTTGAATAGCAGAATCAACATTGCGTCTCACTAGAAGATGCAGAAGGAAAGGGATCAAGTTGGCAATAGAGAGAGATTGGCAAGTGGAAGTTAAGTATGAAAAATAGTCAATCAAAAGAACATTGTCAACATGGATCCTGAAGAGAATATAAAAGGATTTTCTCTGCAGATATATAAGCAATATCAATCATAAGGTTGACATTTATTGAACACATACAAAATGCCAGACATGGTACATGGATCACCACATCACCAAAACACTATGAACTAGAAACTAATATTATCCCCTGTTTTATAGGTGCAAAAACTTGAATGCAGAGAGATCAAGTAACTGACCTATAGCAGTAAGTGGCAGAGCTAGGATCTGAACTCAGAACCCATACGGCAGACTCAGAGTAAAGTCACCCAATGGAAGCGGCATGCATGACGGGAAACGCTGAGGTGGGGGAGAAAAAGGAAACTCCTTAGGCTGTCCTAGGATTGGAAATGAGTGGCTAAGTGTTGCCAGATATATGTATATATAAGAACATGCATGGAAATGTTGTTTAAGAGATGAAAGAAAGGAAAATTAATGAAATCTTCACGAATTAAATTAATTATGATAGAGTGTTACAATGTAGCACAAAGTCGCCCATAAGAAGATGAAGTAGGTTTCTGTATCGTCACATGGAATGTGTTTGTGAAAATGCCGGTCACTGAACAGTATGTTTGGTGTGATATCATGATCTTACTTAAATAGATTACATATGTATATAAATGAAGTCTAATTCTTAAAAGAATACACAAACTGCACTCCTTGGATTACAGAGGAGGAACAATGACACTTTTTCTTCTCTTCTGCATATTGTGGACTATGATTTTTAAAGTTATGTAAATACATTCATTTTATGGTTTTTAGGAATAATGTACCAATTTTGAAAAGAGCAATGATCATTTATCTACCTAATCCTGAATTGTACTGCACATCTTTATTTATTTATTTATTTAAATTTTTAAATTTTTAATTTTTTTATTGAGTTGGAGTCTCACTCTGTCACCCAGACTGGAGTGCAGTGGCCGCTTCCGGCCACCGCAGCCTCGACCTGCTG